CTGATGCTTCCTCCGTTGACCATCTGCCATAGCCACGCACGTTGCGTATATCATCCACTCGCCATATGACGGACCAATCGCATTTGCCGTTTTCTATCGCGCTATACCGGACCAGTCGTGCGTGCACGAATTTACCCTGATTGGCCCCCAGTCCATCGGTGCTGTTTCGAATCCATCCTCACTCCGAGGGATAAAGAGAAACAGATGGAGAAGAAAGAAGGGTGGCGCCAACAGTAGCAGGTTTTCGTTTATCCGCCCTGCTGTATGCGGTAGATAAGGTGGCGGCTGATGCAGGATGCGGTTGAAGAAATAGTCATGGTTGTACGTGGGGTGATACCACCGGGGCGTCCAGACCTAGGCAGGGGAACGATTAGGGTCATTAACCAAAGCCTTTGGCTTAAAACCCTATAAACAAGGCAGCGGGGTGGTGGCAATGATGGGCTTTTACAGAAATCGACGCCACCCCATTTCAAACCCGAACCTGGAGCACAGAAGATCGAGTTTGTCTGACCTCTAACCATTCACCAATCTGGTGGGAGTAGGTGGGAGTTGAGCTTTCCACAACTGGCAAGGTATCGGAATTGAATTAGATAGGTGATATAGCTTTGCCGGTGGACGATTCACAAGCCACCCAAAACATCTCAAACCCCTTAGTGACAGATCATCCTAAGCATGATGTGTATATTACAAGTTCAAGTGTAAAGATTTGCTCCAGGATTGTTAACTGTCTGCGCCCATCACTGCAAGTGGCAAACTGGGGTGAGCTGAAAGTCTTAGTTATATGAGACGTTGCGTCACGACTGGTGGTGTCAGATAATAGGCTACACAACGAATTGTTAAGGCGTGCTTTGCACTCAATGGCCTGGTTCAACTGCACCGTCGTGACGTGTCAAATTCGAGCTCAATACCTCAGCCGATACGCCCCCGTTGTACAGTAATGAGAAGCAGTCCGTCCCCTTGGAAAATTTCAAACAATTATCATGCTTTGTTAGTCGTTGTCTACGAAGGATTGATTTGTGTCGCCATCGCCACACAAGCAATAAGGAAGTTCGAAGCCGTCGCCATGTACCAGAAAATTCCAGTCACCAAAGCACTAGTCAACAATGTTCACGCACTGTGTATGCTAATCCACCGCCTTCTTTGGCACGCATTAGTTGCACTTTCTGGATGGGAGGGAAAAACGTCGCGGCAATCAATCACTGAGGTGGAAAAAGAGCATGGGGAATGTGACCATGTTTAATCTCAGTCGTGTCTGTCCGACGCGGATACCCCATGGGTAGAAATTTTGCATGTTACGACTAGTGTGGATGTCAGCCAACCGCTTGGCGGCAAACCATGAAGTCGCTGACCTCCAGTCTCGTCACTTCCGGCCTTGTACGTCTTCCTGCTGGGGGACAAAGCATGAGGATTGCCAATGGCTGGACACAATTGGCGATATGGCGCGAAAACGGAATCAATGGAAGTACTGTACATGGAAATGTTTTGAACAATGTGACCAGAGGTATACCGTCCAAAATGCCAAAAAGAGAACAAAATGGCGTGTGAAAACAAAAAAGTCAAAGAGCCCAAAATATTTGTTCCGTGTTCCTGACATTTGTACCTTTTTATTTTGTTCCTCATGGTTTCTCGATGGCTCAATGCCTATTTATAGACCGATGCATATATATATATATATATATATATATATATATATATATATATACAGCTGTATTATTAGAGGCGATCAGTTTGTGTTCTGTGCAACCCCCTCTGCAATCAGAACCGGGGATGACAACATACTAAATGAAAACAGAGCGCAGCATAGTGCACATAGTTAATACTATAGCAACGATGAAAAAAGTGACCTTCGTGAGACATCACTCACAAACTTTTAGATTCATGATGTACTTTTGGCGGGGCCTACAAATTGGCCATTGCTGTTTCTTCTCCTTGGAGTACTGTTTGTTACGCTATTTACTGCGGATATTGCAATTTTATTGTGCTGTTCGCGGAATTTTGTTAAGCTGAAGCATTTTGAGGTCATCAATGCTATCCTACTCTGCCGAATTTATGAAATCGTTTCGAAGCGCCGCACAAAGCACACCTTATGTCGAATGCGGTAAAACGGCCAGAAACACCACCAAACAGATTTTCGAAAAACATTTTGTTAAAATGAGAAAACATCGCGCATGTTGGGAGGTTGGCCTTAGACACTGTCCTGTAAACAGAGAACAAATCCCGATGATTCTACCCAGCAATGTGCGCCCACTCCTCAGTAAAATCGCTTATCTTACTGCTACTATGATGCGTAAGGAATTTGTAAATACAGGTGTCGTGATGCTTCAAGAATGTTGGCTCCATCCTGACGTTGAAAACGAGGTTATCCAACTTAGTGACTACCGTGTCATAAGAACAGATAGACCTGGAAAGCCACATAATCGTAGAGGAAGCGTCATCAGTTATATCAACGAACTCTGGTGTAAATCGATCGCCTTGTTGTTTACATACTCAACATCCAAGGTTAGCTGTCATTTATTTGAATGTGGGCCAACGCTTTTGAGCGGTTTTCATTCTGTGGTTATTGGAAACGTCTATATAGCTACTGACACATCATCATCTGAGTTGACGAACTTTGCTGATTATTTTTCCCCAGTGTTACTGCCCAAAATTGAGAGCTCCCTTTGTATGGTTGGAGATTTCAACAAAAGTGATACAATATTCATCAGATCTCTCGGTCTAACAAATATGGCGAACTTCGAAACCAGACTGAACACAGTCAGATCTTGTCTCTACAAATAAAATTCAGTTATTTTCTACACTAAAAAGAGCTCCTCTTGGTAGCTAAAAGTAGTGCATTCTGAAGGTATGCTCAGTCATGTAGTGCAAGACCAAGTTTGTCTCTCTGACAAAGAAGCTATTCGAAACCGTCCGACGGAGAGACTGCTCGACAGAAAATATTGCGAAACTCCAAGCGACGTGAGCTTCAACCGACTTTTCAGTCTTCAAGAACGAAAATCTATCTTTGATGTGGGACTACTTGACTGAATACATTAAAATCTGCTTCAATTTGTACTGCCCCGTTGAGACCATCTACCCACGGATAGGTAGATCTTCTTTGCCGTTACCAAAGCAACTTAGGAGAAAGAAAGAACAAGCCTATAAATGCAAAATGAGCGTGCAAGTTAAAAGACTCTCTATGGCAATCAAATGCGAGGTAAAACGGTTGAATCGCCTATACATTGAGACAGTTCTGGGCTCTCACGATTGTCGCGATCTCTGGAGACTTTGGAAACACCTATGTGGCCAAAGTCCCCATAAGCGCATTGATAACGTGGATGTGCACAACCTCAACGCGGAATTTTTTCTCAACAGATCAGGTAGTCATCTTTGACAGGTTTAATGTTTGCCGTGAACTCAAAGGCTACTGGCCCCGATGCATTGTCACCGCTTGTTGTAAAGCACTGTGCAAACTATCTTGCGGAACCATTGACCGCAATCTTCAACCGATGTCTTATGGAGGGTACCATCCCTAACGCTTGGAGACCTGTTAGGATAACACTTATTCCAAAGAAGGACTTTCAAAAGTATTGTCCAATAGCATGTACAACGGTGATATTGAAGGTCTTCGAGAAACTGCTTGCTTCTCAGATTTTCATACGTGCCAATACAAACGACATACACCAGTTCGCTTACAAACATGCCCGCTCTACACTGGATGCGGTGTCCTATCTTGTGCGTTCTGCAGCATCGGTAGCGGTGACAGATCACTCATGCTCAACCAGTTGTCTGCAAATGAGGTTCCAACAAGTGTTTGCGGCGTGGTTAAAGACTACTTAACAAACCGCACTCAGTTCACCCAGATTAATGGATTGAAGTCTTCTGCATTGCTCTCTAGTCGAGGTGTTTTACAGGGAGCCATCCTCTCACCCGCTCTATTTTCCTTATACATTGAAAAGCTCCCCATACCATCTACCTTTATTGAATGCAAGTATGCTGACAATGTCGTATTGGGATGCGTAATTCCAACCGCTGTGACACCCACTTTGCAAAATGTTCTAAATGAGCGCGTGGGTTGATCCTCATCCCGATCCCTGATTTTGAACCCTTCGAAATGTCGTGACTTAACATTCTCGTTTCTCCGAGCTGACAAGTTACAAGTTGTTTTAGACACCACTTCTCAATTGGCAGTGAGTGATCAGTTCATACCCAAATCGTCAAGTATTAAATTTTTTATGGGTCTTTTTATCCCGAAACCTATTTTGGTCTATTCACGTTGCCAAAACCCTTGCTAAGATAAGACGGTTGTCATTTGATACTCTTCGACTCAAACTACCTTCAGTATCCCGTGATTTGATTCTCAGATTTTTGACTGCATGTATACTAGCACACTGGCTCTACTGTTCCCCTGTAATCTTCCCTGGGTTACACAAAAAGGACTATACACTGATTTTGCGGTCTATAAAGCTTATTTCCAGATTCAGCGGATTATCTAGAGAGACCATTGTGGATTTTATTGTCAACAAGCACCTAGACGCTTGTACCAATTTTTCCTCCAAAATTCTAAACGACCCACTTCATCCACTACACTGTGACCTATCAAAAACATTATCTATTTCCTCTACAAGCTCCAAAGTTAAGATTATTTTTTCACATACTACATCTTACCGCAATTCTGTGCTACCGTACCTGTCACGCTTGCTTGTTGACCCAACCAAAACTATTAGTATGATGCGAAATGATTTGTTCGAGTGATAAGTGTAAACATTTTTACGCGTTTTATTTTTTGTGTAACAGTAATTTCATATACATCACCATCCGCAGTGATAGTGTAACATGATGAAAATGCATCTACCCCCGTGGGTACATAAAGCCTACGTTGATTTGACTTGCAAGACATGGAACATGAACGACACTGGCATAATTGCGCTTTGTGCAATCATGATTCGCGTGTAACGCAATGACCGTGTGATGCGTGCATAACATCAGACAACACACACTGGGGATTAACAACAGGGTCTTACTGAGGTCCAAGTCCCAATGTCTCCGGTTCGTATGAAACCGTCCTCATCGAAAAGTTCATTCGTGCTAACTTGGTCTTTATAATAGCCTCTTGTGCAGGCCTCGCCCTTCGCGCATATCTGCAAACAAAACGTAAAAAAGTGAGGGGTACTAGGGCGACTTGGCATCCACATGTGCTAAGAGCAGTTCGTAAATACGGTTTCACGGTGAATCAATCACGTCATAAATGGTCGGAAATCAAAGAACAAGGAATTATGAAAATGGTGTGAACCAAAAGAAATTCAGGAGTCCAAAAGTTGAATTAAAAGACGGCAAGAATGCAAGTGTCAGAAGGAGACCAAATAAAGGAAGTTCTGTTCAGTTGAGCCTGTCAACCGCGGTCTGAATTGCCAAGATTCTCAAATAGCATAACGTCATGGTGATGAAAACCTAAGATGGAGAAACGGAACGGTTGAAGTCTGTATGTGGCTTCAAAATAATGATGTGCCCTCAGCCTCCAAGTATGTAAGTGATTGCTTGCGTCAGCTACTTCAGTGTCTCATCCCCTGACAACCCTGACCTATTCCCAAACTGGGTGCATGGTTATGAGATTGTGGGTAATTTCTGCAAACGGGGTGCTTTTACCCCACATGTATCCAGAGTATCTTTGTGACGCAACAATAGTATGATATTGAAAAAAGTTAACCCCCATAAGTAAGCTCCCAAATCGGTCAAAAATCGCAAGTCAGGGCATCAAGGGCATTCAGCTATGAAACACGTAAACTGTCAGTGCAAGATAAAGGAGGGGAAAATTCGGTCGTACGAGAACCGAGTTCATGGTTCTCAGCATCAAGATGACGATACGAAAGTCAATATATTTACATTGACGGTGAGGTATGGCGGAAAACAGCAAGAACATATCAAATTAGCAACATTAGACATAAGATGAACGCAAATCTTCTTATCTCAGCCTATTGATGAAAAAAGAGAGCTGATACGGAGAGGGGGGTAATAGAAGAAACGATCGGCGGTTAGACAGATGGATGACGAGTAGTGTGCGGAGTCAAGCTGTAGTTGAGTGAAGAGAGAGATAAGGTTATGGAAGATGATAGAAGAAGTAAACAAGCGACAGCCTATCAGTTGGTTGGACAAACTTGGAGCAGTGGATAGACTGCAGGCCCGAGTCATGTCAAGTGGACAAAGCATGGACATTGTGCACAATCTAGTCAGCTTCAAATTCACAGGGTGTGCAGTGCCAAAGAGGAAAGCTCGCGTTTCTAACGGCAGTAAACGTTGTCGTGAATATCGGTCTGGATTATCAGGTACTGTAATCTAACAGCTTCACAAATGCTCTCCTGGGGTCATATGTTTCTAACCACCACCACAGTTGTAAAAAATGGTCCATATGCTAATTATCTGGACTATGAAGGCAAAAAATAACCAGAGTTGGGATTAGAAGTCGAGTACTCTAAAGCCAAGCAGTGGATTGCCAATCGCTGCAAAGGAAGGTACCTGAGGAGCTCAGTGGTAAGGGCACCTGTCGACAATCATAAAGTCAAGTGTTCAAATCCCGGATAGGGCTAGCTGAGGAGTGAGGATAAGAGCGACCTCAAAGCAAAAGCCACATAACCCATGTTAGAGATGATCTTTTTAAGCTACCCACCCGGCCCATCCTCGAGTACTGTATCACTATGTACGGGAAGATAAGAAAGAACAACAGAATTGCTCTAGAACACGCGCAGATATCGTTTACTAAACATTTGAGCGGTAAGTACTCTACCATGAATTGTCGAGAGCGTTTTAATGAACTTCAACTCGAACCATTTTGGATTCAAGGATTAAAGCATAATTTGTTGCTGCCTTAAAACCTGTTGCACCTAAGGACCTATTCCGATCTGCTTACACTCGAATTACAACATAGCTTAATTCGAGAGCTTCGTTACAAAGATTATACACTGATTATATCAAGGGCTAGAACAAGCATGCGCTTAAATGTCTTCTTAGTAAGATGTAGCTATCTGTGGAATAAACTGCCAATCACATGTGGAAATGCGGTAACATCTAGCAAGAAACTCGCAAGTCATAATGGCCCAAATACGATCATGACTATATTCACAGGGGAAGTCACTCGAGCAGAGCAGAATTTTCCTTTGTAGCACTTGTCCTAAGAAAATGACTTGTCAGTCTGTAATTTTTGGCCTCTAACTGAATCATCGGACATATGAACGGAGGGAAACCTCTGGCTAAACAGGTCGACTCATAACGCCGCTGAAAGAGTGTCCTGCCCGGGAGTATATGTGTGCAAGTAAATAAGGATTCGTTGGAGCGGCTTCACAACGGTGTAGTATGGATACGATGTTCAATTGCGTAGGATACACTCGCGATCACGGATAGCATCAGCAGATTTGCATCTCATTGACCAAGGACGATCAGGTCATCAAATGTAAGGAGGCAAGCATCTGTCCAGTATATATATATATATATATATATATATATATATATATATCTGCACAGTTTCGGTAGTAGATACCTGGGCCGAATGAGAGATGCAAATGAAAATTCGTGTGACTGCACCCGACCGAGATAAAGTTCCGATTTTGCAGTCCATTCGAAAGACATTTGAATTGGCGGAGAGGAACTGCTAATGCTTCCTTAGAAAAAAATTGGAAGGCTCAAACACCCATTCATGGATGAGAATGATGATACCAAAAATGCTCTATCAGGTGATCCCACTTAAAGGTGCGGGTTAGAGCAGTGCTTACAACAAAGGTTGATTTGCTAATCTCGAGTGCGTTTACGCCTTTGGGAAGACATCGGTGAGAAGCTGACGTATAAGGTGTACTGAAAAAGGCTTAGCTAGGTTGACAAAATGGTGTACATTGCGGAAAGTGAAAGCAATTTAGAATAATATAAAAAAGTCACAAGTGTAAGTAGCTCCAATGGAAAAATCAAGTAACTAGAAATATTCAACGACATCTTCCACCCATTAACTACGATCGTCCATATCATTGAGAGATCTGTCAGATAAAATTGAGTAAAGCGCATAAAGGATGGAGTGCAGGCATAATAGAAAGTAAATCTAAGTGTAAAATGTACACACCCGTAGTGCATTGTACCTCAATTGAAAATTTCATTCAAGTGCCAAGCATCTCAGAGGGACAAAAAGTTCTAATCATTAGTGTACAAAAGTTTCGGAGAAGATATATGTAGATTGGGCTAACTCCCTAGCAAATAGCTGAGGAGTACAGCAGTGAACACAGTACAAGAAACTCACCTCACCAATCCCTACGCGGGAGACAAGAAGGTTCATTTCCGGTACGTCTATTAACTTGACCTGGAAATCCAGGTACGGAGTCCCGGTATGGCCAGCGTCCATCTCACCTATAAGCGTAGCACTCAAGATTCCGCTTGTTTCAGTCAATCCGTAGCACTCGACCACCTAGAATAGAAGGGTGAATGCAAGTAACAAAGCAAGGAGACTGAGATCATAAAAGTAATGTCCCCATTATTGGCCGAACTTGCAAAGGAAACATCATCATAATATACCAGCATCCTGTAAGGATGCATAGTCATCATACTATCATAATGAAGCTATTACTGATCAATACTTGTGAAAGAAATTGGTTCAAACCTACATCAAGTCGAGTCGTCAGTTATTTCGTTGCGTGTTGCCGGGTGAATAGTTACAACTCTCAGATATTACGGGTGGTAAGTTAATGATTGTA